GTGAGAAGCTAGTAACTGAGGCCGGGGATAGTTCAGGAACATCCGCCGTTGGAAGTGGCCAGTGAAGACATGAGTACGGACGCTAGTGTGTGTATGTATGTGTAATAGTCACGGGCTCTATCGAAGAGTCGGCTGACCGACATGTTCCGGCCTTATATGGCCTTTTCAGGGCAACCAATTTTAAAACGAAACTTTACATGCACTGCTTAAAATAGCGAATTATTCAAAACAGATCTATATACAAGGTACTTAAGACACTAAAAAGCGGCACAATATGAGCCAGCAGAGTGTGAATGTAAATTCTGTACGGCGTATTATGCAATAGAATGTGACAGGACGTAGGATTACCATCCCGCAATAGTAAACAGAGCCATCTGAAGCGGTGATTCTTTTTGCGAACCTAAGGAAGCTAGCAGAATCGGTAAGGCAGGTCGCGGGTTGGTAGAGACAACTGGCATCCCGCACAGATCCAGATGAGGTGACACAAACATCCCACGCCCCGTGCAGGGTTCTGTACTTATTAGTAAATTGATTTTAACTTTCTGGTACGTAACAGGAGCACTTTGAAAGTAATCACCCAGAGAACCGAGCCACTGGGTAGAAAGTTGAGACCGATCATAGATGTCGCGAGCACAGCCCTCGGAAAACTAGAAATAGTGGTATGCCTGTGGCCTACTCGGGACGAACCGCCTTAAGGAGGGAGAAATGTGCCATGCAGAGGGCGAAATAAGAAACTATACAACTGCCGTTTCTAGGTAACGGCTCAGCAAATAAGCTTATATTTCCACAACAAAAAAATGCACTGCAACAGAGGAACGGTGTTTCCTACGCGGTCCATGCCAAGACAAATGAAGACTCAGTTAACGGAGCCAGAAGGCTCTTAGAGCAATCAGATAATAACATATGGTCCTGTGGGGCTCGGAACCAAGAATCACTGTGCTGACGATGACCAACAGCAATTCAACAGTCAGTCATTTATTGAGTGAGGTAGTGAAGAGCGAGAGACAGATAACCTTTGGTGTCAACTGTTGTGTGCTGTTGCTGCCGGAAGCCGGTAGCTGAGGCACGAGAACGGTTCGGGGACCCAAAGGATGGGGAACGTTCGCCGTTGAAATCCGTTACCACACAACGACTGGTTAAGATACAGCAGGCTGAGAAGACTTCAGTGTAAGCTGTAGTGAGCTGTGAAGGGTGTGAATTAGTGAAACGGTTATACTTACTTGTAGTCACGGATCTAATCGATCCGACTACCAATCCAAACCACGTCTGTAGTCACTCGATCACGTGACAATATTTTCCTCACGTCTATGCCTATATCTCGCAACTTTCTCCGATTATAATTCTGTACGCATTTTTGTCTCCTCCATATGTAATAATTATCTAACAACTCATTCTCCTTGATTTTACTATTATAATGGTAAAAGGAACCATTCATAACCAGCACAATACTCTAAATGGTATGCTCTGTCTCTACAATGAAGCATAATTTCACTGACTGACAGTGGCGAAGTTTCCTTATGCATCTGAAAATAGTAATAACGACATTGCTTGTCAGTGGGTTTTCAGATGCCACACACGTGCCATGTGCTGTATGATGCTAAGCATGCAATGTGTTGTAACCTTCCAAGCCTCTCTCTGTGACATGACAACACTGAACCATTAGGGAATCTCTCGTTTAAATTACTGATAAGCGCGTCACCAGAATAGTTGGAGGAGAAAAGCACGGGGACGCATGCGTCATGTAACTATGCGCCTGCCTCATGTGATGATGGGAAACTAGGTATGAAAATGCCCAGTCAGAATAAAGTTGACGTGGTAAATACTGAGTCGTACAACAGAAGATATTTTTCAAGCTGATTACACTAGCAAGAAACAGAGAGCAGTAAAGAATATTAACTTCTTTAAATCGACTTTGATAAACCGTTTAGAAACTTGGACACAAAGAACCTTCCATGACGCCATCGCAGTCCGCTAGCCAGCTGCTCACTCTGGTTCCTCGCTCTCAGACTTCTCTACCCTGAAAATGGAGGCGATACGTTCCTCTGAAACGTAGGTTCACACAAGATATACACGATGCCACATCCTAGAGGACGGCATTCTTCAGAGTGACCACTGTAAAAACCTCTAATCCTACATCTTAATATTGTCCATCCACCTACGTCTTGGTCTTCCTAGTTGTTTCTTTCCTTCTGACTTTCCTATCAATATCCCATATGTATTCACCTTCTCCCCAATTCGTGCTGCATGCCATTCCCAGCTCATCCTCCTTGAAAAGGAGCATCTAAGAGTGAAATTTTGGGGTGTTACTTTTCCGGTAAGTTTTTGTAGTTGCGACGGGGGATTGTCCAATAAATCGATTCATCAAACTCGAGAACACATTAATTACTTGTCGCGTTACAGGGATACTTGAAAATATAAAAAAATAATACGAAATATCGTCATGACGTGTTCATTATAGAAAGCTGAAGAAATTATGAGGGAGGTTTACGGAAATAGCAGCCCTCATCCGCCTTTGTCTGAAACAAGAGCAAGCTGCGGAAATCCACTCATGTCTCAGGATATTAATTCTATATTCTCCGGACATTTGCTTCATCAAATTGCTTGTGTGTACTCCCGGTATTATGCATTAGCTATCTCAGTACCTATAACAGCGAACATCTAAATGGAGCTATCCGTATTTCGTCATAATGTTGGAAGATAATATTAAGCGTCATATAATTCTGAATGCTACATATTTAAATTGTCGGAAGTATATAAAATTTCAATGTAACATTTCAATATATTCTCACGTACATTAGTGAATATAGACGGATTTGGATTGAAGGACTGCATACACACAACTCGGGACTACAGGAAATACAGCGCTACCGCTGATCTACACACTTTGCAGTTCACCGTTGCACACGCACTAGGGCTCTCAGTCTTCAATGGTCGTATCCAGGCAACGGATTTTAACAGTTCCACTGTCACTTAAAATCACACATGAAGTCTGCTTTGCACAGCCTAATTCCTTTCTTGCCATTTCTCTGCAACTGCCGATTCCGAAGACTTGACTCAGTTCACTTCCTCTGCTCCCAAACTCATATCCCGGCAGGCTGGCGTCTCGAAACTCCGCTCTACTCTTCTTTATAGCCACTTTGCACGGACCATGCAGAAAACACAGCCTCTCTACTTTTGGGAAGGCGTGCTTACAGCGCCGTTGTATAGCAACACAAGTTACTCGGTTGGTGCTTGCGTATTCGTTGCCGCGGGAATTTGTTTACCGAATCGTTTCCTAGGAATGAACGCCTATTCTAACTTCACTATTCCGGCTTTCGGGCGTCATGTCACAATATTAATTAGATAAACAGTACTGAAATTTGCATTAATTAGTCATA